GATGAATCACGACCTCAAAGTCCCTTCTTGCCACACGAGGTGACCCTCCCATGTTGCAGGGATCAGGATGTGAACCTTGCTTTTTTCTTTCTCTGTGTTTATTTATTTTTCATTGTAATGAAAACCTCACACACCTGTCTTTGTTGTGTATCCAGGCACATTCCATTCCAGACCGTCAGCTCCTGGGGGCCAGGACCCCCACCTGTTTAGTGTGGGCTCACAGTGCCCCTGGGGCCTAATCCAGTTTACAAACGGGTCCCCACTGCTTTTTTTTTTTTTTTTCCAGCTTTACTGAGGTATCATTCACAAAGCTGTAAGATATTTAGGATTCTCATCATCCAGTCGGCTGACACATTCATCACCTCACACACTAATCCTTTGGCTCTTGTTGAGAATGTGTAAGTTCTACTCTCTTAGCAAACTTCAGCTATCAGCTGTGGTTACCGCATTTCACATCAGACCCTCAGACCTTAATCATCTTATCATCTTATAACTGCCAGCGCGCACTCTCTTACCAGCCTCTCCCTGTCTCCCGTGGTCCCCCGCTCCCGGCAACCACTTTTCTAGTGTGTTTCTATGAGTCTGACTTTTTTGGTTTTTGTTTTTGATTCCCCCTATAAGTGAAATCATACAGTATTTATCTTTCTCTGTCTGACTCATTTCACTTAGCGTAATGCCCTCAGGGTCCATCCATGTTGTCAAAACTGGCAGGGTTTCCTTCCTTCTCATGGCTTACTAATATTCCTCTCTGTGTGTGTGTGTGTGTGTGTGTGTGTGTGTGTGTGTGTGTGTGTGTATACACTACATCTTCTTTACCCACGTGTCTACTGATGGGCACAGGTTGTGGTCATATCTTGGCTATTGTAAATAATGCTGCAGTGAACATGAGATTGCAGATACTGCTTTGATACTCTGTTTTCATGACCTTTCCATACAAACCCAGCAGCGGGATGGCTGTATCATAGGGTGGTTGTATTTTTAACTTTTTGAGGAACCTCCATACTGCTTTCCAGCATGGCAGAGTTTACATTCCCACCAGTAGTGCACAAGGATCCCCTTCCCTCCAGGATGTGAATATCTCTGGGCGTCCGTTATTCTGTCTACCGGAGTGCCTTTGTTAAAGTTACGAGCTTTAGCATTTCATCTTAGAGAAAACAAAGGCCCGGGAGTTTCAGGAAGTGGCTCCTGGGTCATGTCAGTGCCAGCTCCAGGTACCTGACTGCCCAGCCTCACGTTCCGCACCACCCTGGGAGTAATGTTATTGGAGATGAAATTGAATTTTCAATAAGGTCACCCACCACAAAGGAGCGCAGATATTTTAATGCCTAAGACTCTTCCAGAATACATTGCATTCCAAAAAGAGCAAAGGTGCCATGATCGATTTTTAAAATTGTTCCTGACGTCCTGTGCTCTTGCCTGGTTCATCACGCCTTCTGAGGAAACTGCAATTTTGGGGTTGGCCGTTCTTATGGTGTGCATTTTATATACCAGGGCCACAAGTAAATTCGCCACATCTCCCATGACCTTTATTGTGCATTGCCTAAGAATGCAATGAATTGAACTGGAAATTAATTTCTCTCGGCTTTGATGCCAATTAAGTGGTCGCATTCTGCATTTAGTCTGGGTCACATGCTCCCAATGTATTGTTCTTTAATTAAGGGCAATGTGGCAAAGGTTGAGGTTTTAATTAATGTGGGGCATTAGCATATTAATTTTAATTTAAACATAATATAAGGATGTTTTTTCTCCTTAAATTAGTTTCCATTTAAGAGCACCCCAGAAGGAGTCTTTAATTCCGTTTAGGTCGCTTTTGTTCGCTGCCTCTTGCTAAGTCTCTATAGGAGGACCTATCTCACTTGAACCAACTGAAAAAAGGCAGAGGTTCTTACATCTTGGAGAGCTTTAAAAAAGGTGATCCTAGGAAAATACATCATTTTAGATGATTAATAAGTGATAACAAAGGAAGCTAAAATCTAAGTTAATTATCAGCTAGGTAGGAAAGAATAAGCCCATTTCGTTTGGCCTAAAAAAAGAGTGCACAACGTGTAAGTTTTGGAAAATATAAGCCCCTGTTTGAGCTGCCTCCTCTGTAGAATGTTCTGGAAGTTTATAATTTGGTGTTGCCAGTCTTTCTGCTGATTCTGTCCTGTCTCTGTTGGGCCTGCTGTGCTCTCCTGCGCCCTCCCAGCGTGGCGAGGCTGTAAAGCAGTGAGTTGAAGGTGCGAGGGGACGCGCTGTTGGCCATCTGGGTTGGCTTCCTTTTCTGCTCATGACTGTGTGGGGAATCACGCACCACCTCAGGTTGTATACAGGAAGCCCCGGTTACAGAAGAGTACACGGTCAGATTCCACTGACGTGGGATTGATTCTGAAAATCAAGCACATCATACTTGCATCTGGGAGATGCTTAAATTACGTTCCGCGTCTTCATGAGATTTGCCTGTTATTATGCAATTTGTCAAGACAGCCTCGTCATCAGTACAGAATTCCTCTTCTCCCTCCTCAGTACCCCAGTGAGCAAGAAATAAATCTCAGACCCTGGGCGGGTGCAGGAGAGCACAGCAAGTCTGATGGAGACAGGGACAGAGGCAGCAGAAGGACTGGCCATAGACCCCATGACACCAGGTTTGCCAAGAAGGGAATGAGCTTGGTCAATGCCAGAGACAGAGAAAGGAGAGACTGCGGGAAGGGTGGGGAGGAGACAAGGCCAGAGAGAAGGCAGGAATAAGATCACACAGTGGTGACAGTAAAGTCAGTCGTGCAGGCTACCTCTTGGAGCTGGGATTTTATTCTGGGTCTGATGGAAGGTTCTATACCTATGAGGGATGTGATTTAGTTTATTTTTAAAAGCCCATTCTGGGGGCGCCTGGGTGGCTCAGTCGGTTAAGCAGCTGACTTCGGCTCAGGTCATGATCTCGCGGTCCGTGAGTTCGAGCCCCGCATCGGGCTCTGTGCTGACAGCTGAGGGCCTGGAATCTGTTTCAGATTCTGTGTCTCCCTCTCTCTGACCCTCCCCTGTTCATGCTCTCTCTCTGTCTCAAAAATAAATAAACGTTGAAAAAAAAAATAAAAGCCCATTCTGTGGGCGCCTGGATGGCTCAGTCAGTTAAGCGTCCCAGCTTCGGCTCAGATCATGATCTCACGGTTTGTGGGTTCGAGCCCCACATCAGGCTCTCTGCTGTCAGCACAGGGCCTGCTTGGGATTCTCTGTCTCCCTCTCTCTCTGCCCCTCCCCCGCACTCTCTCACTTTCTCTCTCTCAAAAATAAACCTTAAAAAAATTCAAACGCCCGTTCTGTGTGCGGGGTGGAGACTAGACCAACGGTGGCTGCACATCAGGCTCTCTGCTGTCAGCACAGGGCC